CAGTCTTCTGAGTAGGCCAAAATCTGCCCTCTGGAAGTCCAGGGTAGAAGTTTTATTGATGGCCTTCTTTGCATCCCTGAATATTGAAAACTATTATTTCATGGTCACTGTGCCCCAGACGTCCACTGCCCACCACATCTCCCACCAGCCCCTCTCTGTTTGTGAACAGCAGGTCTAGCAGGGCTCCATCCCTGGTAGGCTCATTTACCAGCTGGAGCAGGAAATTATTCTCTAAACACTCCAGGAATCTCCTAAACTACCTCTTCTCTGTTGTGTTGAGTTTCCAGCAGACATTCAGACGGTTAAAGTCACCTACAGGAAAAAGGGCTGGTGATTTTGAGACATCCACCAGTTACTTGTAGAATAATTCATCATTCTAGTTGGGTGGTTTGTAACAGACTCTCACTGGGATGTCAGGCTTGTTGGCCTTCCCCCTGATTCTGTCCCACAGGCACTCAACCTTATCGTTACAGACTTCAAGTTCTACAGAGTGAAGAGACTCTCTAACATACAGAGCCACCCCTCCACCTTTCCTACCTTGCCTGCCCTTTCTGAAGAGCTGTTAGCCACCCATGGCAGCACTCCAGTCATGGGAGTCATCCCATCATGTTTCTGTGATGGTGTTCTTGAAAAAGGGAGTATCATTTCCTTAATAATTGTCTCTTGATCCACTTAATTACTTAAGATTAAAGTTTCTTGAGAGTGAGTAATTGATAATTTTCTTTGGAGCATTATCTTCAGGGCCATTATTTTCTATCATTTAGTCATTTCAGGATCACTGGGTATCACTACTAATTGCATTCCCTTTATCACGTGTGAAAAGTTGCATAAAACAAAGGATTATACAAGGCAAGAAATCAAGGTAGTTAGTTCACAAAGAACAAGAAATAATATTTTTTTTATTCCCCATCCGACAAGAAGCATAAAAACATATCAATGTCCCACCCTTTCCAGGTTGAACTGGGTCATGGGCTAACTTCCAAATTTCTTCTGTTATCTGTTTTACTACTTTTCCATTGGCATCGATTTACAGGTAACAATTTGAATAATTTGATTTTCCACATACCCCTCCTTCCTCTGCTAATAAATAATCTAAAACTATTTGGTGTTACAAGCTGGCACTTCTCATCTGGGTTACTTGATCTGCTAACAGATCTAAGGTGGTAGCCGTTTGATTAGTAATATCTTCTAAACCAGCTTGAAGTCTAATTATATGATTCAAATTATAAATAGGGTCTCTTGCTCCATATATTAATTCCTTAGGATTCCAAGTGACTTGTCCATAACACTGTATAATTCTCTTGGGGGGCCACTCATCCTTTCCCCATTTTTGAGAACTTCCCCCAACCAAAGAGACATCAGTTGATCATTTTTCTCTAATCAGATCATCATATATTTTGATTCCTAATCTGTCTCCTTGAGCTTGTGGTAACAAAAAGAACAATGGTCTAATATGTCCTACATAATGTATCTGTGACCAATCTGGGGGCAATCTTCAGTATGCATGTTGTCCACAAATCCAATAATGGCCTTTAAGCAGCCAGGTTCTATTGGGAAAGGGACTGTCTCAAGTTTCATTGTCTTTTGGGACATGAAAATTCTCTTTCCCTAACGGTTCCCCTACCACATTTATTATCTCATGACTTACTCATCTTCTTGTGCTTTTATTTGACTCTGTGAGGGCTCCTGACCATCTACATAGAGCTTTCAGGCAAGATAAGCTTCACATAATTCCTCACAGAATCACACTGTTAATGTGAAATTTACTTTTCTTACCCAAATAATTCTACTCCTAACCTGGGCTTTCTTCTTTGAAATTCCTAGGCAAACATTCTTTGTATGAGGAAGATATCACAGAAATACAGAATGATTGAGGTTGGAAGGGACCTCTGGGGGTCATCTGGTCTCCCCTGCTCAGGCAGGACTATCTGGAGCTGTTTCTCGAGGACCATGTCCAGGTGGCTTTTGAATATCTCCAGGGACAGTGGTTCCACCTCTGGAGATATTCAAAGGCTTTCTGAACACAATCAAATATGGACACAATTAAATCTCCAGGAGAATATAGATAGTACTGTTAAAAGGTATTGTACCAAGGAGTTCAGCTTAGAATCGTCCTCCATTTTTCTGGTGTCTCTGGATTTCTCACTGGACAATTTGTTTTTTTCTGATTTTGGGATAATTCCAAATGCAAAGGTGCTGCTTTAACAGAGAGCATTTTACTGTGGAGCACAATTTCTCTACAAAAGCTTTCCTTAGATCATATGAGCTGGGAGAGCTGCAGACTCTGTCCTCTTCTGTGGAATTAGCCACACTAACACAATCTTACTATTGGACTGTACAAAAGCTCCTTATTGTGGGATTTCTTTTGGAAAATATTATATTATCCTGGTTTTTTGAACTCTATGTCATGCATTGCAACTGTAAAGTGAAAAGCCACTGCTCAGTGGGAGGCAATGAGGAGGCCTCCCATGAAATGAGTGGCTGAGGTCGATTAAACACTCACTGTCAAAGGTGTAAGCAAAAGCAGGTTTAATAGAAATTTGCAAAAGCTCAGCAAAGTCCAACAGCAATGGTCACTCTATTTATTAAACATACACAGGAACATCGAATTAGAATTAATTTAGAATGATTTCTGCAGAGACTGGGGGGGGGGCAAAAAGAAGGTAGAGTTGTTAGAGAGAGACCATCCCACTGAGTCACAAGGTACAGAAAGAACCCCCTTGTTTTCTCAACTGCCTCTCAGGGGAGGTGTGGATCGAACCATTCCTAGTCCCAGACTTGATCAACAGTTTATGCAAAGGTTTTTAACAGCACTCAATCATTGACCTTTCCCTCCTGTCCACCTGATTACACCATTTTTCCCTAAGGGAATGTTCTTAAAAGTTAAATCTGCCTGAGAGATTGGGAAAAGGTGTGGAGTGTAAGATGAAAACGTTCAGAGCGTCATCAGAAAATCAGGATAAAAATACTAGTGAGCAACTCCCCCTGATTTACATTATGGTGGTAGGATGCACTAAACAAGCATTTTACTGGATTAGGATTTGCCAGGCAAATTTCACTTCTCTTCTGCATAGGGTGAGGGTCTTCCTCCAGGGGTCTGCAGGGTCTGAGGGACAACCTGACAAAGCTTAATGAAGCAGACCCTGCAATGTTCTCTGCAGAGCCTGTCTTGAAGCCAGCAGTAACTCAGCCAGTATGAGAAAAGCCTTATTTCTCCTCCAGGATGTGGTGAACTTGTTTTTCCAAACAAGGGGAGGGTTAATCTTGCACGGTGCAACTAAGTCAGAAATGTTGGCCACAACATCCTGCCCGTTGCTTGTGACAAAAAGGTGAGCTGGGGCATGTGTGTGGTGGGGTCTATTAGTTCATAAGCAAGTTGCTGTGGAAACTATCACCCCATCAAACATTCACATATTATTTTCTGTGGGCCTCTTCCTCATATCACTGAGTGGAAAAAACCAGCATGTTTTTTTCTCTTCTGCTCTGTGTGTTTCCCTCCCTCATGCTTTCAGCAAGCTATGTCTTAATTGAAGCTTCTGAACGTCCCAAGAGATACTTCCCTGCACAAAGTCTAGAAAAGACAAATCCAGCCAACAGGAACTCTGGGTTATCAAAGCTGTATTTCTAATCTCAGTGATCATTAGGACAGTTGGGTTTCAGCAATGTCCATCCCAAATTCATAAGAAAAAGCACAGAACAAACCACAGCATTTTGGTCAAGGAAAATTTTATTTTTGTCACTACTACAGGAAACTAAAATGCATGTGGGATATATTTTGCAGAAGAAATACAGGTTTAAGAAAGAAATGTTTCTATGGTTGAACATTATCTGTTTGAATTGGATCACTGCTCAGGCATGATAGGAAATTATTGTTAATAAAGCTGTCTAAAAACCAAAGCTATAAATGGCAACTATTGTGCCTGAATTGTCTCTGCAGTAACACACCAGTTCTACAGACAGTAACACAACATGCCTGTGAAACCTGATTTAAAACATTATATAGCTCTCTATATATCTATATGTATCGATAGTGAGGATTGGGCTTTTCTACAACTATTGAGGCAGGTTGGACATTCCTGTGTAAATGCCAGAACAGTGGGGAGATCTACTCAGCAGGAGGATGAGGAGAAATGCACTCTCCTCAGTGCACAGAGAAAAAGAAATAGCAAAAGCAGTTACAGCTCTTAAATCTAAATGAACTGGCTGGGCAGGATTGAACAGCATCAAATGTCTAAAGGGGAAGGGGCTGTGTTGTGTTCTGGGTGCTCACTGTCAGCAGATGTGACACTGCTTGTCCAGCCCGTTGTGCTGCTGGTTCACGTTCTTTCCTGCAGTTCTTCAGGTTCCTCTTGCCTTGACTCCACATGTCTGGAAGAGCAAAGGGTGTTTTAAACCACATTTACTGCAACTGGAGCAATAAACCACTGTTTGAGAGCTGTCCAGTCAAGACAGGTACACTACAAAACTTAGGCTGGACTATCTTTTGTGCCTCTTTGGACACTTCAATTTGAAAATCCCCCCTGCCTCCCCTCTCTTTACTCCCACAGGTTTGTGTTTTGGGATCCTTGCTTCTGAATCCTTATTTGTTTGGAGTTTTCTCCAGGCTTTGTGCTCTGACACTTGAAGTAGTGAAGGAGGTACCTCTTAGGCTCTTCAGGCAATACCTGAGTTGCTCGGGCAAAGAAAATTTGGGAACCAGCCACCAAGAACTGAGCTCTGGATATAGAAAAGTGTTGTTTCCTTTGTCACGTGGGAGGCAGGGTGGGCTTCTCTTAATTGTTTTATTTTTTGGGGAGGGGGCCTGGTGTGGGTGCTTTTTGTGGGTTTTGCTCATTGTTGTTGTTTTTTTCCCCAGAAACCTGCAAGAGCTATTTAATGGAATCAGGAGCAGATGAATAGGTGTCGTTACCTGTGGGGTTAGAGAAGTACACACAGACGGGCAGTCACTCCTGCCACATGCTTCCAGTATCTCTACAAATCAAGCTGAGTGCTTCCTTACCTCAGAAAAGAAACAGCTTGATACTCATGAGTGTATTGAAGGCGATGCTTTTTGCCAGCAGGACTCTCAAACCCAGCACAGCCACAGACAGCATGTTCACTCTCTGCACTGTGGTACCTGCTCAGGGACAGCAAAAAGAGGAGAGAGACCATGGCCTAAGTTTGGATGTTGGGATCTTGGCAGAAAGTGGAAAAAGCCACAGGTAACAGCTTCAGGGAAAGGAACAGCAGCAGAGGAAGAGATGCCAGAGAACATGGCAACACCGGGGGAGGAGGGTGTCTGTCTCCATTGCTTTTTGCTTCCTGTTGCTTGTGTGTTCCTACAGCAGCAACCTTGAAAAAGCAGCTTGTGTTTGATAAATATGTCATAATCTGTCTCCTCTCTCCTCGAGAAATTACCTTTCTATGCATTTATCCCCCAACCAGCAATGTAACTTCACAATCTGTTTCGGTCACTAACCTTGGGCAGAGGTGTCTGTGCTGTTGCAAACCCTGTTACTGGTCCTCGTTACGGGTTCGTCAGCCTCCTTTTCTGTAGAATGATAAAGAAAAGGCATTTTAACCCATATCCAATTTTTAGAAAGTATTAAAAAACTATTCCTATGGCCCTTTCCATAGGGACATGTGGGAAGTAGAGTCTGGGGCTCAGATGATCAGTCACTAATTCAAACATAAATCTGAGAAGACAGTTGCAGGAAACAAAAGAATTTCTAGGTTGTTTTGTTTTTCCTATTTGAATGACCTTCAAGATGATAAAAACAATTGCAAAAAATATAAAAAGTGATTTAGTAAAAACCAAAACCAAATCACACCACCAGTTTAACTTTTTGTTGGCTTTAGAAAGGCTGTTTCAGGTTGTGCTCCAGGAGGTTTGATGCTGCAAATAAAATAAACTCCCATTTTAAAAAAATGGATTGTGCCTTCTCTCCTCCCCCATCAAAAGAAAAGTTTCTCCAATTTATTAAACAGTTGAGACCATTTCTTTTAGATGCTTTTAAACATCTTTCATCTTTCCCTGCTTAAGTACCAACTGTCTCTCTCGTTTCTGCTGCCCACCCTGGGCAGTGCAGACTATCAGGGAAGAGCAGCACCACAAGACACTGTCTCCACAAATACGTTCCAGCTGTGCCCCCAAGTTGTACCTGACAATGCTGTAATGGTGCCAATGTCCAAATGGGCCTTGCAGGTCACCTCTGTGTCTTTTGTCACACTGACCACCTTCATAGCACTGTACAGCCCCTCTGACGCCAGAATGGGTGTGCTCTGTTCATACACGACCTCATCAGAGGACATCTCCAAGCTGATGTTCTTTGTACTGAAATTCCTTGCCAAACAAGCTGCTTTCCCAGTGCTGCCTCCTTCTTCCAGTTTCTTTGATTTCATCACAACGACTTGTGGGACAGAATGTTTTGGACTGCCTGTAAAAAAAGTATGGTTTGGGCATGATGGATTTTACTGCAAGCCTGCCTGAGAGCTAAGTCATGAAAATTAATAGACACACCACCTGGGACTGATTTGTAGCATTATTAGTGACCAACTGCCTTTTTTTTTTTGCCATTACTTCTTGCTGTTGCTTCCAAAAGATCAAATTAGAGACAGAAAGGGTGTTCAAGAGCAGGTATTTTATAGAATATTTAATTCCACAGGATCTCAGCTTCCTTTTGCCAAAGCTGGTGCCTGTAAGTGAATTCTTCATTTTATAAATTAAGGACCTGCAAAGGAGAAGGGAACTTTTGTGCATGTCACTCCAAGAGTCCAATTATTCTGCTTTCTCAACAATTTAATTCCAAACAATGTCAACTCTATGAGGACTGCCTTGCATATTCGTGAGACATGAGGAAATAACTGTTTTTCCCTTTACTCTCCCTCCCCTCCCCAAATCTCCTGTTGTGGTTGAAAGGTCCAACCACAGCAGGAGTGGCAGGGAGAGCAGAGGTCAGTTTGTTGCCTCACTGCTGTGCAAGGTTCCCCTTCTGAGTGACGTTACTTGCAGAAATGAAGTCCTGCTGCTGCAGGGGGGGACAAGGCTGAGCTTTTCCATAACAAATGCTCAGGTGCAAGAAGGACTTCTGTCTGTAAGATGGGAAAGTAGGAGAGAAGCAATCAAAAGTCTGTGAATTGTATATCTCCACACAGAATCACAGAATCACAGAATCACAGAATCACAGAATCACAGAATCACAGAATCACAGAATGGATTGGGTTGGAAGGGACCCTAAAGGCCATCTGGTTCCAGCCCCTGCCATGGGCAGCGATGTCACTCACTAGTTCTGCTCCAGAAGTTCCTGACAAGGCCAAGAACTTTCATTGTGGGGGAGGTTTTCCCCCCTAGACATTGCACAAGGTGTAAGACATGCCAACCAGTCTGCAGGCGATGAGGAGAGAACAGGATTGGTCCTTGGTTCAACAACTCTTGTACCTGTTCCAGAAAGTGTGACCATTCTCACCCCTGTGCTGTGCCGTGTCGGCAGAGCCACGGCTCCGGAGCAGTGGGAAGTGTAATGCAGAGTTTGTTTAATAAACTGATTGGAGGGAAAGAATATCCTGGGGCTACAAACATGATGCTCATGGACAAATCTTACAATATTCCTTCGAGTAGTGTAATAACCTTCAGTGCTGGTCCTTTAGCACTAAAATACCAACAAACATCGAGACATGAAAACGAGAGTTTAGACAGAATCTAAAAGATGCTGACAGCTTTTCACAGGATTTGAGATGCTTGCTCTGATCTGTCAGAAATTTGGTTACTCTGAAATGTTAGATGTATTTTTTCAGTTTTGAAAGAATTTTAGAGTTGAATTCCCCTGGAAATACATGAATGACAAGAGGTTGACAACTGAAACAGACTGAATTTCAATGGTATAGCAGAAGCCTTCTCTGGGAATTTCCTATAAGACATACAAGACTGTTTAATTTGCAGGAGATGCCCTTAAAGAAAGCAGGTAGTCTCAAAAGGAGTTAGTAGCCAACAAATCATTGCAATACCATGGGGTTTAAAAGAAACCCAAAATATCTTTGCTTTCACATAACCCAGACATGGATAATCCAGCATGATTTATATACCAGTGTCAGGACTAATTCAGATTAGCCATTCAAATAATAGTAAAAATATGGAAATGAAAGGAATCCTCTATCATCCTTCCTTGACAGAAAGAGTTTAGATACTTAAGACTCAATATATTATACTGTCAAACATAATCTGAAAGTCTTTGTGCAGCTTTGAAAATATCTCATCTTTAGCTACAAAAAGAAAATAATTAACAGCACAGAAAGAATACATTTTTCTTCAAAAGGATAACTTGACATTCCTTTGCCCCTTTGGAAGTAGAAGTGGACTGAGATTGTTCCAAAACAGACATTTATTCCCATGCAACATCTCCTACAGGCATGGGCAGATATTAGGCAGCACCTCAGGCAGTCCCAAGCCCTTCTGAAATGAGAGCAGGGTGTTTTAGGAATGTAAAATGACATGGGACATTTTTGCAGCACTATAAAGACATGCAGACCTCTGAAAGCACAGCAACAAGTCTGTGTTATCCTCAGGATAACACAGAGCAACCTGACAATCTCCTCTGACACCCCAACACTCACATTCCCATAGGGTGGGACATCCACCTTTTTTGTACATCAGGAAAGTCCAAATAAAGACAGGAATAACAACTATGGCTTGTTATCATCCCTACTCCCCACACCTTTGTTTTCAAAGCCCAGACAACTTGGGAGCCAGTTGTCTTTCATTCTAGGAGGTCTTGGATATGAGGCACCTGTGAAAACTGAAGGCCAGGGATATTTATCCTCCTTCCTCCTCTATCTCCATGCCAGTGGAATTGCTTCCCTGGGGACACTGTGAGTGTGGTGCCAGTGTCAAAACTTCTCCAACCAGACAGTTAAAGATCTGTCTCAAAACTTCTCCCCACTGTGAGCTCTCCACTGAGCTGTGCATTCCTGCCCAGAGGGAGTCAGTGAAGATCCACTGGAGAAGAGGAGCCTTCAGAGTCAGTTTGGGCCAGAGTGGTGTCCAAACTGGGAATAAATTGTAACATGTTCAGTAGTGCACACCTGGTGTTTGGGGATCATGGAATGAAGCTGTTACACAGAGTTAGGCCAGTTGTTCCTGTGAAACCTTCCTAAGCAGCTCCAAGCTGAGGATTTGGCTTGAAAGCCTGGCTGGAGAGAGAGAGTGCACTCAAGGGACTATTGCAGCAGAAAATTCTTGCAGTGAACCCAAACCATTAGATTCCTTTTTCTTCCCCCACCTTAACTGTAACACAATTTTAGAAATAAATAAAACAAAGTACTTACTTGGTACAACTGTGACGGTGGTCCCTGGTCCAAATACAAGCTTATCATCCTCACACTGCTAATACTCATTGCAATAAATCACTCTTTCCACATGATATTCAAAAAGGTTGTAAAAACAGGAGATGAAGAGCCATACATTTGTCCTAATTATCCATGTATGCAACTCCTTGAGGGTGTCCAGAGGGTGTCTTCCAAATTTGGAAAAGGAAAAACAACAATTAAACAGTTCAGTGATTTCAAATAGCTTGATCAAGTACAGAACTTCCAAGTTCACCCTTTCTTCAATCTTTTAGAAACCTTGTGAGTTCTCTTTCCAGGATAAACAGAAATATAAAAAGATTATTCTATTTGTCTCTTTAATTATCACAGTCACTCACCTCTTTTCCTTCCCAAAATATATTGCCTTTTTACCTTCTCTGGGTTTTTGTACAGGGCCCTGTGCTGTTTATATTATTGTGGCCCGCCAGCCCCTGTACACAGTGGTGTATTTCATTGCAAAAACTGCCTCTCTTCCACTACACAGAATTTTGGATTATACAGGCAGTCACGTGACTTCTCAAGTGGTTCAAGACCCAACATACCACATGAAGAAACACAATATGGCTTTGAAGGAACGGTCTAAGAAAATGATGGTTCTTTGTTATGTAGAGGCACTGTGGCCATGGGAGTGACTATCAGAGATTAAAGGAGCTGTTGCAGAATTATCAAATCTTTCATGATGATCAACTTGTGCAGCATTAACACAATCTGGACCTTGATGGCAAAAGATGGACTCCACCTCTGAGTCTCTGCAGCTTCAAGAGCCCACTTCTCCCTTTTGTACCAAAGGAGAGGCAGGTTGAGTCTGTGCCCATTAGGATGGGAAATGGAGGTTGCCATGGTGACAAAGGCTGGGAGCTCCTGGCACCAAGGTGAAGGCTCTTGTTTCACATGAAGATTTGCAGCCACAGAGTAGACTCCATGCTGTCCTGGCAAAGGAGGAGCTGGGAGCTCTGCCAAACAAGGTGTCTGAGCCCATTGCCCACGAGCCACACAGGAGCACCAGAAAAAGTGGTGAGTGACAGCAATGGAAGGCTCCAAGCTGCTGGACCAGTCATCTCCTTGCCATGGACTCAAACTTGGGTCACTTTTAATGGACCTACTCAACTTATTGCACCTGCAATCCATTACCCCTCCTTCTCTTCCTTGGGGGTGTTAATGACAGTGCCATGGCGGTCCTGGGAAGTAGCAGGCAGGCTCTGGGAGTGTTGGGAGGAATGAGTTAAGAGCAGAAAAGAGGTGAGGAGGATTGTAAATCACTCATGTGACCTTGCAGTGGGGAATAACCCTTGATAACCCAGAGTGAACTGCAGCCGGTGACCCTCCAGCACGGACAGAGTTCTGGGGGGCAGCTGCCCAGGCTTATTAATTTTCAATGTATTTTCATTCTACCTTTCCTAACTCTTTCTGGACCTTTGAGCATTTCTGTCCTCAATGTCTGTTTTCATGAGAAAAAAAAAATCAGTCTATGTTTAAGAATTGTCCAGAAGTTATTTTGGTTTAGTTGATGCTGGTTTAATGGACTCTGTTTCCTTTAATGTGTTAAGTTGCTTATTTACTCAGCTATTTTATTTTTAGTACTTTTTGTTTGAGTGTGTGGGGGTTTGACCCCACAAAAATCCAGTCTCCAAGCTTCCCCCCACAATTTACCTCGACACCGAAGAGACATTTTGAGGCAGGCACCACTCAGTATAGGGGGAAGGGAATATATATACAATTTATTACTATACACACATAAATACTATAGGCAATTATATACAATATTAACAGTCTCTACCACCCCTTGAGCCCTCCCTTATCAGTCCAGGAGAAGAGCTCGGGCTGATAGTTAAACAGTCTCTCTCATTGGGGTATCAGGGAAAGGCGCTCTTCTGCACCCCTACCAGCCCTCAGCTCTTTGCTGAGGTCTCATCTTCATCATGAGGTCCAAGGAGATAGCTCTGAGTCCTTCCTCCTTGGTTCATGAAGGTTTCCTCCCCAGAGAGTAAGATGTTCCATTCTCACCCTCCAGGTTGCAGGCTCTGGGTCTCTGCTCAGTTCTTTTACCTCAAATAGTTTTAAAGTCCTTACCCAGAAAAACCTACTTGTTTGGCTGTCTCACTCTTCTTTAGCTGCTGCAGCTTCCAGTTTCAGTAGTCCACGTCCAAACCCAATGTAGAGCACCTCCGAGCCCTCTCTGGCCCGTCTCCAATTTCTGCCTGGAGTTCTTCCAACTGTTTGCAACAAATCACAGCTGTTTCTCCCGGCAACCAAGCCTCTCTGGCCCGTCTCTTGGCTTGGCTCCAGTACCGAGCATGCCTTAAATCCCAGGCAGTGGGGGAAGAAAAAGAAAGCCCCCTCACCTTGGCTACAGGGTACTCAGTCCAGTTATAACCATCCTAAGCCCTGCCGTCTAGCTGGGGGGGCTGCCTCTCCCCCTCTTACCTCATGGTTGTGAGTCTCTCTCTCCCTCACAACACTCTATGCTGCCTTCAGCCCTGGCTTAGCCAGGGCTGGGGGGCCCTGTCACCCCTCAGCTCTCTCACACACTCTCAGACACACATGGTCACACACTGACACTGCTGACAACTTCCAGCTGTTGTTGATGTCTAATTTTCACAGGAGCGAAAAAGAACAGCTCCGACTGGTCCCTCAGGGGGAATTCTCCCGGGACCAATCACCTCTAGGCCCAGGGCCTCCCTGAACCTGGGGGGGGCAGTTCAAACCAAGACAGTGCCATTTTTCTAAGGGTCATGTGGGTTTTTTCCCCGATTATATGCACCGTTTCTCCCCTCAATTTCTTTAATCTTATGAACTGATTATTTGACCACTGAGTTGTCTGTGGTTCAGAATTTTGATTTATTTGTATGTGCCTTTCACTGGGTTTGAAGGTGGTGAACATCTGGTTATAGTTGACTGAAGTTGGCTTTTAATTTGATTTTTATCTTACTTTTGTGATTTTCATTAGTGGTAACTTGGAATTGTAGAGCAGTTTCCTAATCCTCAGATCCAGTTCTAGGATACAAAACCAATATAGCATTATTTCATCCTGTTTGCATTATCATTGTCACCAAGTGTATTTCTCATTTGTAATCAACAGTTTTTAATCTCAGTGCTGCTATTTTCCATTGTTAACATGGGCAGGTTCATCTGCTCTTCCCTTTAGTGTGTCAAATTGTTTTCTCCTCCTTATTGCTTCACTGCTCCGGGAAAGCTGTGGAATGTGCTGATGTGATACCTTCAGCCTGACATGACAAAGAGAACAAGCTCAAAACACCTCCTGCAACAGGCCTAGGCTCACACAGGTGCCTCTCACACACCCTTCACTCGCTGGCAAATCTTCCCCAGCAGGGAGACCTCGCCCTGCTTGTCCCTGAGATCTCAGAGGCCGTTAAACAGCCCGTTCCCATTGCAGTGCCACAGAGCACAGCTGTGCTCACAGCCTCCCACGAGCCACACGCTTGAATCCCTTTGGCTTAAAGTTGAGTTCTGCCGTTCTTTTGTCTATGTCTGTCCCGGTGCAGGCCCTCCAAAAAATTACTGGAGGTGCCCCAGTACTGTCAGTGACGTGTTGGAGAGAATGTTTAGGTTGTGTTCCACTACATGATACTGAAGAGCCCTCCTTGAGTTCTGCTTCAGAGGAAACAGGAACAGAGGGAGTCCCCCTCTCCTCTAGAAATGTGTCACAGGCAGATGAAGACACATTTCAGAGGTTGTTTGAATTCCTTCGGTCCTTGCTGAAAGGTTGACACTGCTGTTTTCCAGAAGAAAGTATCCTGGCCCTTCCAGCATAATTCTTCTTGTTCCCCCAAAATCTCCATTTGTATTTTAACAAAATTTTCTCCTTTTTTTGGTGGG